CATTACATGCAAAGCAAGATAATTCAAGCCGTGATTTGTCATAATTGTGATGATTATGGCTTACAGCTCATGAAAACCCCAAGAACCCCAAATCCACAACCTCAAAAAAGTAGATTATTACATGCAATCAATAAAACAAGGATTGTACATAGAACAATATCGGACCTCTGAAAAGTACAAGCATGCATATGTACTCAGTACTTGGTTTGGGCCCCTTTTGCCGAACTTACTGCAATTACTTTTGCACGATATTCTAATTATTCGAGTTTCACCTGTATGTGTATTTGCCTCCCAAGATTGGAAAAGAGACCGATCGTACTGCAGTTAGAGTGATCTAAATTCAAATCTCGATGCTACTAGGACCAATCGGTTTAGTCAGATGTATATGGCTATTCAATTGCCTGCAGATAAATAGAAATGATACTTTACCTAAAAAGTGTTAAATCTTTTTGTCTGAGAGATGTCAGTTTTGTGTCGGTTCCCCTGGACAGCCCGTCAATCAGCTTCAGATCTCCCCTCTCGTGTGTATAAAGATCCCCCGTATGAAGCTCATCCAGTATCAAGAAGAAGAACCCAGTATGAAGAAAAAGAATAAGAAAGCTGTATACTCTTCTCCTAACTTTTTATCACGCAAAAACGTGGGCCTGGTTTGCTTATCTTTTACTTTTAATTATGATGCCGGAGGGGCGTGACTTTTTTAGCACGATCCCTGTGACTACCGGAAGAGGGTAATGTTGGATTAGAAATCACTTTTGGACCTTTCTTTAAAACTTCAACATAAGATTGAGAAGAAATTTGATGACACATTGGTTACCTTAAAGTCCTTCACTGATATAACATTATACCCAACCTAATTATTTCTACTTAAAACATAAACGCATCAAACTGATAATATATGCTAATATGTATCAATAAGTATAACCACACAATATATATAATGAATATAGGTTGAATGTTATAAGAATATATATATATATATATATATATATATATATATATATATATATATATATATATATAAAGT